AACTGATTGAAATAAATAACTGTTATATCAGTTATTAAGCAAACTCTGTTCTGAAACGTATGATGAGAGTTCATCACATATTGACCCAATTAGTTCTATTGCAGTGCAATGTAAATCAGATATTTGAACGCTGGTGGTTCTGTCTTATCTACCAGTGAATCCTAACGTCCCGATAATAGACTTCTGGTTGCTATTGTGGCTTTTCTACAAACCGGTCACCAAAATTCAAAGACCGCACTCTACTCGGTATCCTTAAGATTTGTGTAAGCGAATTAAAAAGGAGCATTGGCCTCATTTCGGTTTTTGGTTACAAAAAAACGTCTGTAGGTTAACCCTCCAAGAAATATAAACAAACCGCAGATATATTTTCCCTCAGGCAACTTCTACTAGTTTCTTCAAACGAACCATCGTTTTAGCAACGGAAATCGACCCACACACCATGCTGTTTACAGACAAATGTTGACACCTATAAAGTTCAAAAGTTTATCTGTAGCAGTGACGGAATACAGTTATTTACAAAGTAAGTTGTTGCAGGACTATGCCCATCTGATGAGCCTCCGAAAACCTTATACCGACAGCTGGCTGCCGACGAATTTTCAGAAGGTTTTGTTCAATTATTCGATGGTGGCTAACTTCACCTACTTATCGTTGTTTAGAACTTAAACGCTATGGTATTTCTGTTCCTGTGTTTGGTCATTTTCAGCTGAACGACGGAGTGGCAAAAGACTTGGATATCTTACCCTTTATTGAAACTGTTGTTTAGTATAAGTGTGGTGAGATTGTACGCGAGTGAGAGGTCAAACAGAGACAACTTTGGATTAAATACAAAAAAACATGTTGCTGTCCACAAGAAATGGTGCAAAATCATGCCTTAGCCTCCCTGCGTAAGTTTTTTCATCTTTGCAAATCCATATAAAACTGCGTCAAGCACTGTTTTTAGTCTCAAGGGAATGTTAACCTGTGCTAGTGGAGAAAACCAGGAGTGATTTCATCCACTGTCTGCTGAATAATGTGGGAGTGTACCAGCATAGGCTTTCTTGTGTACCTATAAAAGGGACAGGTCGTGCCACTCATGTTTCCAAAATAACGAGAATCTGAAGCAGTTTCGCCACAACAGCACTGAGCATCTTAGTCTAACGGTAGGGCAACAAACGTGTTATTTCTATTCCGGGTCTACCTACTGAAATTATGTAAGTAGGTACAAACTCAGACACAGCCACCGGTCGGCAGGTTCACTACGAACCGCTGACCTTGGAGCTTACCACCCTATCTGCTCATCGAAGAAAATATGAGCCTACATAATAAAATTTTGAGTCGTTTGAACTCGCGAAGAATATTCACCCAGCTCACGGAATCAGTCACTTTCGTGTACTGTACCTCATCTGTCCTCCTAACATTTAGTGAAACTAGCCGTAGCATAAAACAGAACTGATCTAATCTTATAGCATCAATTCCAAAACGCTTTACTGAAGGATGATCAAGCCCACAGAATGCATATTTCAGGAGCCGATATCCTCCCCTGTGGACTTCACGCCCACACTTACGTAATGGCAAGCTCCTATCTTACGTTCGTATACATGAACACCCGGTGTTAACTGGCGCGCACAGTGCACCACATAGTTGCAGGCTTTTCAGAACAGGCCACAACATTAGGCTCAAATCCCGGGACCCCGAAAACACGATCGATGGTTATGTACTCTTAAGGTTAGTAGCACACGCTGACGTAAGTTTTATCTGTGTTTTTCATTATCATGATACCGTTTGGATGTGATGTTCAGAAAACCTACTCTTTCTACACCAAAAAACCCACATAAATCCTTATAAATTCAATAAAAATGTTTGCCTCAAAAACCGTGAAACTGGCAGTGAAATCACAGATCATACGACGCTGAGCCAGATTTTCGTTACCAGACTTTGAAAAATGAGCGCTGACTTAAGTGTGCATTTAGCTAGCATCTAGCGGCTGATATCGACGATATTTTCTTCTAAAACGAGAACATGAAGACTGTGTCATAGGTACCTGCTTGGTAAAAAAGTGCATTTTAAATTTGCACACAGCTTCGCTCCCTGGAAAGAGGAAGCTACAGACCGCTTCTGAATATGCCCGCGTCAACTAACAGTCAGCAATAACGGTGGCGAAAGTCATTTTGTTTTATCACCAGTTCACGTTACTAAACGATAGGGGTGAAATGATAACCACAAACATTGAACAAAAAAGGCGCTTTCAGCTTGATGTATTGAATCACACGGAGATACGGTGTTTCAAGACCTTAACCTAAAAAAGCGAGAAGAAGGATATCAGAGTCACACTCAGTTAATGTCTCGAGTTAACCAGTTTATTCATGAACCTACAGACCAACCGAGAAGGACAGTCATCTGAGGATGGAATCGCTGTAAATTTTGGACGCGTTATCCTAAAAAAACAGCTTGAATGTGGTTCAGAAACCGTGAGAGGTATCCAGCCGAGTAAAAATCTTGAACTTGATATTTATGAAACAATAGTTAAGGTACAGTGAATTTCGTGCACTGAACATATAATTCCAACTATTTCTTCCTCGCCGAGACAACCAACAGGCACAAAACGGTCGAAGTTCCCAGGCTAACAATGGGCGTATGTGAAACGTCCACAACAAGAAAGCAATAAAGCTGCACATACTACCTCAGAAGTTTTTCTTTTCAAAAGACCTCTGTTATTCTAAATATGATCTGCAACGGTTGCCCTGTGGTCAGATTTTTTCCTGAATTCCACTTATTCCGTTACCTATTACTTTTACCGTTTCCCACGTTCATTATAGGTTGCACAGATAGCATCAATATTGTCTTGGACCACTTGTCCGCCTTTATCCATTTCCGCTCTTCAACAAATTTGGTTTATCGGTTAGAAGTTGTGCAATCTATATCTCAATAGAAATAATAACCATTTACGGTGGAACATGACTAGATGTGGAAATTGACTGGAGTACTGAATTCGGGTTTGATTTTGAGTCGTTAGAATTTTCTTTAACTTGTAGATACTCAGATAAGTATCACTCATTTGTTCACACCCAGTTGCAGTTGAACGGCAAAATCAAGACTGTTGGTGGTGAGAAAATTTTACGGTTTGATTTCAGACGAATGTTTCGTTTGTGTTGACGATCGTCAGCTTTAGCTTCATAAGATTCGATTCGAAGTTTCGGACTCTCGGTCATTAGCTTTAACCTAGTTAGCCGCTGATGGCTAATGACCAGTGTCATTGGCTTCAACTTACACCGATCAATTTCCTTCCGTCACACAGTTGACGTCATTTAATACGGTTTTGACCCGCCGCTTAAGCAGCGGTTCCCCAATGGGTGGGTCATGCGACTCGTGGCATTTCTTCCTTGAGTTAAGTTTGCTTGGAACGTGGTGTTCTCTGTATTCCCACGCAACTATACCTACACGTTTCACAGGGGTTTTTGCTTTAATATTTTCCATTTTGATCTGGTCCCGTTTGTGTTTGTTTATTTCAAAAGGTCATCGCATCTGTACGCGACAGAAAATTATTGAAATTCTAGGAAATGGCGCTTACAAGCACACTCTTGTAACGATTGAGCCTACTGGTAGTAAGCCTAATAAGATATTCGAAACGTTTCCTTCATCCTATACAAATAAAATACACAAACTGGGCGACGGCCAGAAAGACATTCGAAAACACTTAAGTGACCGTTCACAATATATGTGCACATCTAAGTACTTTTGTGCTATCAACTGAAAGCTAAATCCTGCCTTCTGTTGACTTGTGTACTGACGAGTTACTCAGGATATTGTGATTACACACATCGACCGATTCATTGCCTGAATCAGATGCACTGAAGCATTGTGGGTTAGGCAATGAATGATCTTGATTGATCGTCCATTCACGATCTGGGATTGTTTAGCTAATAGCTAGTACACCCAAGATGTAAAGTGCGATGTATACAGGTTATATATATATATATATTTATACGACAGCGGTAAGTTAGAAATCAGTTAATGCAGATAAATACACGCATTTGCTCCCCCGATAACAAGGTGTTCGCAAAGAAACACTGAAGTAAGTGAAACCTGAACTTGGTGGCATTACAAGAGATAACGTGATCATTTAGAAATGTTCTTCGAAGACTGTAACATCCTTGTCATCCATGTGAGAAAGGGCTTTTATATAAGCCATTTCACACGAGAATCACTCTCTTTGATGCTACATTTGTGAAGATCATAAGTGCTAGCACGCTTCTTGTGGACTCGGGGTATAGTTGTAGAAACTTTGCTGTCCCTAAATCCTGAACATTGGCGGCAGCACAGATCTCTACCTATTAGAGGAAATGAAGAATACTTCTATATGCAAAGATTGCTGCAGAAGTCTCCGTTACCCACAACTGGTTGCCTCATGTAGTGCTTGTAGATTTTGGCCCACACAGTTTTGAACCATCTCCACATCCTGCCCTGAGTGATTATGTTTCTAAAAATGCCGCTTCTCTCTGTCGAAAAGCAATTAAAGCCCACAAGAAGATATAGCTTACTGAGAAAGCATCTACCTTCCACAAAAGGACGTGGGCCTTTCAGTGAGTTTCACTTATGCGGCACATAACGATGCTAATTATATGGAATACGGGAGAAACCGGACACTTAGGTAGAAGTGGAAGTAAAAGAGCAATCGGTGAAGAAGAAAATCCGCATCCTTTCGTGTAATTTGTATTCGCTGCATTTCTAACAAGAATGTGAACATTTAAATCTATGCATATCGAGAAAACAGAGGCACCAGAAGCTAGATTCCTATTTTCGTTACTTTTCGTGGCGCCGCTGGTCAGTCATTGCAGTGATTCTCAAGCTTAATTACATCAGGACTGTTTCCGCAGCCACTGAAGTAGTGGTAAATTAGCGTTGGCTCCAAAGTGCAATAGCTCCCGGAGGACAAAAGCTCTGATCTTAGCCAAGTTTAGGCGGTCTGTGGTCACAAAACCCAGAAAGGTTTCCATGAACGTTTGTTCACTAAGTAAGCAGCACGTAAATGGAACAATCATTTTATTTCAAAAATTTATCCACATAGCAGAAACAGCAGAGAGATCATTTAAGATATTTTACGCATTACAGGGAGAACGGCCTTGCCTGTCATTCAGATTCCAGTAAAGCAAAATGAAAAATGATAATGTCTGGCTGCTGCGAATGTAGGTAAGTCCGCCAGCTATTCTTCACCCAAGAGAGTCAGGAGTAGTTTGCAATAATCTCCCGAGGTGTCTTCCTTTATCCACTGAGCCAACGACTTGCCTTGATCTGCTTCAAATTGCAGGCTGATATCTTTCAAGTCAATCTGAATAAGCATATTTAACGGACATTTGTATAAAAGCAGTCCACTATGATAAGCCATGTAAGAGAAGAGTCCATTGAAACAGCACATAATGATCATGAATATATAGTATCATTAAGTTTGGGCGTGTGATCCAACGATTTAGAAGATATGAAGGAGAGTGAAGCATTTGAAGTGTTAGATCTAAAATTGGTGAATTTACTCTAATAATCATTGCTTGCTTAAGGATGACAATTATACCACCAACTTGGAAACGGGTGAACGTAGAAGTCTCCTGAGGAGATTCTGGACGATACCTCACATTTTAGATATCAGGTTTCATGTAGACACAGCTAAATTGCCAATTCAACAGCACTCAGCGATTCAATCCTTCCAGGCCTGAGAGTGCTTTGCTCCGTGTGTCTATCTGAATGTCGTTTAAAACCGGACGAACACATTGGTGGTGTGTCATCGTGAAGTGCATTTTTCAGCTCCTAGCCAAGTGCTAAACGTGACGCGTGCATTCGTTGGTCAGGAGCGCATAAAGCGTGCTTCTGATGGAGGTTGTTTGTGAGCTATTACTCCCTCATTTTTACCTATCTTCACAAATTAATCTCTGACTCATTTACGCGGTGCTTTAATAACTTGACAATTTCGTCGAACTCTACGTCAGACCATTACTCACACTTTTTCAGCATTCTTTTCTACCTTCGGCATAGGCGCTTACCTCGCATCGGGTGACAATGATTCGCATAAGTGAGGAATCGTTTGTCCCAAGGCCGGCCATAGAACATGCTAGAAGATCCGAGTACGCTCGTAGACGTAGGATACAGGCACATACTGGAATAAAAAGTTATCGCCAACATGTTACACGAAATGTCCTCTTATGAAGTGAGATGCATTAGTTGGGTGTGGCGAGCACATAGATGACATTACGGTTCCCTTCATCTGTCTGGTAGGCATAAGAAAACCAAAAAGGTTCTGAACTTTGCGCACAAGTGTGGTGTTTATTCTCCTGTTTTTGTACCAGTCCAAGTTACACGAAAACGTAAAGAAAGCCCGGCAATGAAGACAACTTCCAATAACATGAATACGACGACAACACTGGTATTTATGCCCTATTTGAAAAAAAACTGCTTGAGAGAACACACCACTCATAAGGTTGCTGAAAATTCGTCGGAAAGCCACCACCGGTTTCACCCTTCTTTAGTCGCATCAGGTGGGGCCAGTCTTAAAAGATGCTATTAATCTTGCGCTTTATTTGGAAGCCAAACTTTAGGCACTTAGTGAAATACGCTCATTTGCAAAGTACACTGGTTTCGAAGGGAAATTCAACTTCATCTAAGCTGAAAAAATACCATAAACAAGAGATTCGTTTAGTATATTCTACCTGCAGTGAAATCAGTTGAATGGAGTAAATTGTCTGAAAGAATTGCATTTCATATCAAAGTAGAATCCTGACTGTGATTCTCAAATTTTCACCTTAGACAAGTTTGGGGGAAAAGATAAAAATATCCACGGAATCAGATGTGTCAGAACGAAAACTGAGCCAAAGAAAGTATATTTTTCAAAGAACTGTCTGAATTAAAATCGTTGAATTTTTTCCCACCATTTTTCTTCGAATTTCTCGATACGGTCACTAATCATTCGAATTTCTGTAAGTTAATCCAAATTACATAGTTACATAAGTACCGGGCATGAATTTTCCAGTTTATCACCTAGCTGTTTTGGAAGGGCTTTCAAAGGCACCGCAAATCTGTACTCACATGTCAACATCAAAGCATCGCGGAAATCGCCTGAGGTCTCCGAATCAATCGCCTCCATCAGCGAGTGGCCAGTAGTCTGAAGCGAATTCGCACAAAAATCGAATCGTGAAATAACCTATTACAGATCAGAATGTAATTTGCAGTAATCGGGAAATTTACTCCTGAGAATAATTCTTTGCGGAGTTCCCCTATCACTGCTTCAATTGGATCGAGCATTTAATGGAGGTTTAGTAAAGAATGCGATGCCAGTCCTGTGAACCCTCTGTCTAGCCAAAAGTACCGCCTGCTTGCTTACTAAGATGTCACTTGTTACTCTACCAAGCATTAAAATTCGGTTGCGAAGTTTCAGATAAAATTTCAGTCTTGTGCATTTACCAGGTTAGTCGAAGGTGTTAAACCTCACTTCCGAATAGTGTTCTTCGTAACCCTTGAGAATTTGATAATTGCCACGTCAGTTCAAAAGCTGAAGTTACAAGAACAATACATAGCTAAACTGTTGCTTCAGAAACTTTTTGCACATTCAAGCGACTACAGTTACTCAACTTAATTTTGGGTATACTAAATATGTACACGCTAAATTGTATAACATCCAAAACTTTCCCCTGTGATTGACTTCTGTGGTAGTTTTGGAGAAGGTGCCGTTTTACTAAGTGGATTTTCTCCTATGTGTTTGCATAGTTGTGGAGCACTAAAGTCGTACTACTAATGTCTAATGATGCTTCCACACCGTTCACACTCGGATGATATTCGAATGCTTACAAATTTTTGTTACCAGGAGTTGGCAACTTCCACTTGGTAAAGACGAATTAGTTGTGAATCATGCCGCAGTAAAATAAACATTATAAATTAATCGTCCGGAGTGAAGCTTCCATGCGAACCTTGGGAAGCATGAGCACCGAGATAATGTGAAGTTGCTTAAGATTAGATAAGTAATCTAAAATTCGGGATTGGGTTCGAACCGTAGGCCTTCCATTCAGTAGTTTCTCCCTTTATTCTCTGGGCTACGCAGAGCTTTCTCTACTAAAGCACTCGTTTTTTGGAGAAATAATCCTGAGTAAAATATCTTATATCGAAGTCGAGTTGAACGATTCGAAACTTTTCACACTATACAGCAGCCTTAAGAAAGCAAACTACCGAGCAAGGTTTTCCGTTTGCTGTTTCAACCTTATTATGGAACTTCTCTTTTAGCTCATATACTCTGAATCATTAATGTCATGGATGGTAGTCTTACATATACAACGACGAGAAACTCAACTGAGTCAACCTGGATCTCTCACTTATGGGAGTATTGTTCAAGTGAATTTGCTGCACCAGGCAACCTCATGTTTCAGTTGGTATAATATTAGAGAATACACGATACATAGTCTAGACGTGACACGCTATTCATAATGGTTTCAGAAATCTCTCCGACTGCCCACGACTGACCTAGCTTTTCTTGAGGCAGGCAACGTCCTCAAGGTTTCTTCAACCTTATTTGGTGGAATTCGATAGACCAACTTGCACACGGCTTTGGTTCTAATAGGATATTCAAATGACTGTCCCACCGAAGGATATGCACTGTCGATAAGCTCAGCCGAGGGCAAAAAATATGAGCCCAGTGCCTCCGCCCTTGATGTGGGTTCGACAAAATAATAAGACCAGGAAAGGAGCTGGACTGTTCAAACGAGAGTAAGGTGAAATATACTCATTTGCAAACAAATTTGGTTCCGCGGGAGACTCACACGGAACCCAGCTCAATCACTCGTTTATGATGTTTATGATATTACGAATGAGCTGAATAAATGTGGAAAGTAGAACAACCTGTGAAGAAAGCAATGGGGGTCAGTTGCTAACGCCATAGACAACCACCAGTGCATTCCTCCCTTTTCGGAGCTCACATGGGGGAATAATCCACGCAATCTTGGGAAATCAGTTCACCGCTTAAACATAAATCTGGTCGAATGTTTGCTTTAAGCCAAATAAAAGCTTCCAGCAAGCTTGTGAGTAGTGTTTCATGTCTAGACAGTGTATTGCGACGTCTCAAATATCGTATGAGTAGAAACATGAAGCAGCATTTACAGCTTATTCAACTGAACAAAACCAGTAAAACCGAGATATCCGGATGAATTCAGCTGAGTCTTTACGCAAAACTGAATTCGTATGCAAGTGAGAGCATTGGGTGGAGCCCGTCTAATTTGGGGTCATGTAGAACACAACGTTGACGGAAGCTCGGGCAGTGCGCCTACCTGATGAGCTCCAAGGGAAGCATAATCCGTTGAGGACTGTCAAAGATCTTTCAGCGGCCTTATGCAGTGTGTTACATCTAGATTAGGTATTGAAACATTCCACTCCGACGTCCACGGGATGCGACCGGGGAAGAGTGTTTAGTAAGGTACCAGTAATAACTGCTAGTGTATGTAACGACTACCATGTAGATTAAGCGATAACTAGTGTAGCAACCTCGATAATCCGTGTAGTCTTGGCATGATCAGCTAGTTTAGTCTTTACTTAGACAAATTTTTTGAGGCCCGTATTGCAGCTAGATAACACAACACTCAAACGTTCACAATGGTGAAGCTTTAGGAGCTTCTGGGTTGTATAAAGAAATTGTTGTGTTCCATCAGCCTGTTTTCTCAACTAGAATTTAGTTACCACTGACCTTAGCTAGATTAGTAGCTTTAATTATGACATTATTTGCTCGAAAACTGCCCACAACTAGCAAATGCACCTAGAATTGTGTTTCTTCGATGTTCTGTTTTGGGGCGATACTGTAGGGGATCACGTGCTTTATCGATGAAACACCCCGCGGGTGTTCCTTCGGGAAGTGAAGCACGGCACCACACATACTACTCATCGACTTTCCACACTACCCTGTAATCACAATATGGGTGTTGCACTAATTACCTTTTCATATGCTTTTGAGACAGCCTGGAGGTGCCAGATGCTCCGGCCGGCGAGGAGTCGAATAAATACAGATTCGTCAGTGCCCAGCTTCCTGTGTGGATAGAAGAAACAACATAAGATATGATTCAGGGTGCTGAAACACAATAGACTACCTAATACATTTCTGTCATTCTGGAAATAGTTATCGCAACTGGAGTGGCTTTCTGTCTTAGCCAGCGCAATTAAATCTGTTATGAATTTTCACTATTTACTATTCACTTTCAGAAACGCTTCACAGGACTTGATATCTGCACAGTTTCGAAGGTACGACTGTCAAGCATAAAACAACAAGATAGTGTTTTTTTTGTAGTAAGCGTACTTTCAAATCCGTTTTCTCAGTTCAAAGTTTGCTTTATCGATAATGATCAAAGGATGATGGGCTGAAGAAACTACCAAAATATTCCTACAAAACAGTTAAAACTAAGCGGTGCTGTAATCTGTGTTTATGCGGTCTTATTCGGGTAAATGTAAACAAATAACTTTTCGGTGTTCATCAATTTTTTTGTCATGTCTTGACCCAGGAATGGTACAGAGATCTTGTCATTGTATACCGTATGCTGTTGAAAGATGACCTCACTAGTCCTGCATATACACATTGTTTACCTCAACTAGTCCTCAGCTGAGGAGGGTCTGACACTTGCCAAAGCTTGAGATGAGATGAGATGAGATCCGTTACCGAAATGCCTGGTGGCATTCAGGCCTTCTGATATTGCTATAGCTTGTCATGCGATTGTAGGTGGGAACAATGGAGTCACTAGATTAATGGTGTACAGATGGTTAAACTTGGCAGAAATTTTCGGGAATCGACTGTAGGTTTTTCTGAAATTCACGGATGTGATTCTACTGAGGTGAATGCTGTGACCAAATTATTATCGACGCGGCCAAAAACACAGAAGGTTTTCCAAACTTCATATAGTTTCTCGTGTGTTCTATGGTTATTAGAGTTCTATGGTGTCATTAGAGTTGGGGTGCTTCCACTAACGCTGTACAAAGCCGTTCAAAGAGGTTTTTCCGATACAGTGCGCGTTCTAGTTTAGGAGGACTGTGGAAAAGGCTGCGGTAGTCATATGGTCAACCAAACGGTTTCAGGTTATGTAACGAAGTAGGCAAACTACTTGCCACGTCCTACCAACATACCTATACCAAATAGTAAGTTCTTACTCTTCTCTGAGAAGCCTCCATTGAAGCCTCTTTACATTTTCACCCGATTGGGGATGCAGCTTCAAGTTAGTCACAGTGAAAAGCGAGAGCCTAAGATGTGTGATTTAACAGTGGTGAAAACCAAGCCAGTGCCATGAAGATAACCTGAAAATAGTCTAGAATAGTATCTTATGTGGAGGAGGAATTCCGGCTTACAACATTGAGGATATTATCCATTCAGTTGCTATGTTTCACTAAAATGCGACTTATTTCCTATCAAAGTGTGTAAAAGAGATTAAACTAAGACTCACCCAACACCGGCATCGTAGATGTCAGCCACATCTTGGCCTACTTTGGCCATGTCCAAGATACTGGAAACCCCTTCCTTCTTCATCCGCTCAAATTGTTCATCAGTCACCTCGTCCCGCTTGCCTTGTAATAACGCAGTCACAAAATGCTTGAAACATCCACTCAAATCACTACTGACATCTTGTTCGAGGGATGAATCTATGGAAGAACACAGAAATGCAATGCAATTGAAGATCACTGAAAGCGACACATCTGCTGCTCATTAACCAAAGAGGCTAGCGGTGAGGAATACGGAAATCCAGTTTGCGCCACAAGGCAACGAATCAACGAACTTTATGGATGAAAACATAGCCACAGATAAAGGTGAGTCGATTGGGGAAGCACCGCAAGCGCCAGATAAGTGAGCAGATTGCTAGGCCATTGGATTCAGGAACCCTAGATAAATTCAAATACTGTAAACACATGCCACAAGATTGTGACAGATTTCATTTCGCCACACCATTCAGTTTATGTTCAGATCCCTCCAATTCAGCTTATTCACAAAACTATACAAGCAAGGTCTAGAAGAACTAGGACAGTATGAATATCTGATATGATCTGGACTTTCAATGTAAAACCGACAAGTACATTTAACTGAATGCGTAGATGTTGCACATCCATCACTTTTGCCAAATGGTGGTTCTTTGGTGTGTTATTACCTGGTCGTGGCTGGAGTACGCCCGTTTGCATGGTGAAAGTGAACAGTCATCATTTCCAACCAACGTCGCAACACACACTGGCAGCACTCGCTAACCAACCTGTTACAGCGACATTGATCACGTCACCTTGTGCGTCTACGCAGAGAGTTGTCCTGGTTACGCGACAAAACGAACCAGTGCAGGTGAGTTTGCTGTACAAACACGTTTCAAACAGACAAGAATAGGTCACATACGACCGTTGGGCGCGGATTACAACTATCGTACGATAATGTAGAAAATGACGCCGTATGAACGGCTGAGTAGCATTTCCGTGTTTCCTAACAAGTTTTCATTCGTGGCGAAACAGTGAAGTCTTTATTTCTTCATTTAAGACCACTTCGTCTAACCACTAAATGCAGCACCGTCCATCAGAATTACAAGTTTGTGAATCCATAAACACGCAGAGCTGCAAGGATGTTACATGCCCCAACTTACGTCTCTTGCCCTTCATTTGTAACACTGTAGAAAGAATGCACCATAAAGGACCACAGTAGACATTACTGGGACAACATAGCCTAAACTTCTTACAAACTACAGGTCAAATTTTCTACTCAGCTATGAAGACACGCTGCTTTGGGGCAATTAACATAACTTTTCCATCAGCATGAATTTCGTCCTGGTCAGTAACAGAGGTGTTTTCGATTACTCTTGTCAGACACTGAAAGCAGCCTGAGAATGGGCTTGTTATGCGCAGCTAGATAGGTTTCTTGGACAATAAAAAACACTCTTAGCTTCGATTGTAAACATCCTCTTAAGTTGAAAGGTCCAAAATCACTGTTTTGTTTACTGGTTCTTATCAGGGTACTGTAGCCTGGAGGAGATTATTAACCTAGAGGGCCTTCAAACTCACAGACACCAAAAAAAGATGAAACGGGTGTAAAGCGCTGTTTAACTACTGTACATAGGCTTAATTTATTTCTCAAGCTCATTTAAAAATTCGGGTTTACCAAACCATTTGCCTACTCTGCTTATCTCATGTCATATTTAAAGCCGACATTAGGGCTGCTTGGTAGGAGGAAAGCGGGTGTTCTTGTGCTTTAAACTGATGTCATTTCAGACGGAAGTGTTATGCATTGTGGTGTTTTAATTACTGTCAAAGTTTTCAAGATATTACACTAATATTTTGACATGAAGAGACGGACACATAAAGCCCCGTCAGTTGAATGTTACTGTCACTGATAGACCAGCAGTTTTGAGTTTGGTTCTGATTTCTGCCCCCAGTTTTGAGATTCCCATAACCGACACATGGGTTTGGCTACTACTCGAAAGGAATCTCTTAGTAAAATCCTACTGGGTTGTTGAATATTTGTTTCTGGTTGATCAACCACAAGTAGTTTCAGCGGAACCGGGTATGGTGCTATACGCTGGCTCCTGCTGTTAAAGTAAGTTCCAGAATTTAGTGCACGTAACTCCTTGTATTCTGGGTAGGGTTAGCACCTCTATCTTACCCTGTCTCATATCACTGCAACCGTCTAATATTAAGAGTCACTGTTTCATTAGCAAGAACGATTGTGTGTTGGCGGTGCTGTTCCACCAAAACGCAAGCAATATACGTAGCCCAAGCGGAGTTAAGACGCTAGTGCCAATTAAAGTGACGCAAGTTTTCGTGTTCTGGATGATGACCAACGCAGGGGAGGTCATCGGTGGAATTATTTCAATGCCAATTTCAAGGCTCACTCCGAACACCAACTGATAACTGACCATGGGGTAGTAAATCTCATGTAAAAACCGTGGATTTTGACGAGACTGCGCCAGGTTCAAAAACTTTATTAGAATGGGCCAAATCAAGGCAATGTTCGCAAAATAAAACTGTCGCACGTTAAGAAATCTGATGAATGCTTGTTCTACTTACAATTTTCATATGCCTGTTTGATTTCCGCAATTTCATCATTGCTTGCAGTGCACAGAATCTCAATTATCACGGATTCTTTCGTCCCAGCACCCTTCATCGCGTCGTACAGAGCTTTTGCCTTGATCGTCGGTCCATCGGTCAGCAGCATTACAACCAGCCTTTCGAAGTTTCCAGTGAGTTCTCCCTTCAGCTTTTCGATCAAGTCCTTGGGTTAAACAATAACAATAACTTTTGAGCGAACAACGTTTTTTTTATTGATCCAGCACATTGCATTTCAAACTGAGGAGTTGAAGTAAACATTTGTAAGACAATTTTGGAAGCATGATTCACTACACTTGATTTTAAAGAGGCAAACCGAAACCATACCTAGCTAAACACGCACGCAACAACGAAGCTTGCGTGGGATTTTAAACTGCGCTATTTTGTGGCGATCAAGTCCTTGGGTTAAACAATAACAATAACTTTTGAGCGAACAACGTTTTTTTTATTGATCCAGCACATTGCATTTCAAACTGAGGAGTTGAAGTAAACATTTGTAAGACAATTTTGGAAGCATGATTCACTACACTTGATTTTAAAGAGGCAAACCGAAACCATACCTAGCTAAACACGCACGCAACAACGAAGCTTGCGTGGGATTTTAAACTGCGCTCACAAATTTTGTGGCTGAAATTTTTAACCAAAACTTGGCAGTCCTTCGAAGATTTGTAGTTTATATGTTCCCTATAGTCGCTGTGTGTCTAAACATGAATGGCTGAAGTAACATGCTTAGCTGACGCTGTGGTGCTGAAGCCATGAACTTGACCATCTTTGAGTCAGTTGAATTCAATGAGTTAGAAAAGCCCCAAGTCCACTTCCGATTCATCTGGTATCCGAGAATTCCTTCAGATATTTAACTGCAAGCGCAAGTTGCCGTAAACTGAGACACTGAGAAAACAGTGAGCCATCTGTTTCAGTTGAAACGATGAAGCATATTCATTCTAATTTCCATACCGCGCACATTTGTATCAATCATTCACTTAAAGTAGATGGTCAGTGGATACCATGGTATTAATTTCTTATTTACAGCCAACACTGGATTGTGGCAGCTCTTTGTTCATCATCATTTGAATGAAGGTAAATTGCTTTGATAATTTAGCAAAGTTATCGTAAGTGCTCACGGATGGGCACACTCGCACAAACTTACCTTTCCGTACATAGTCTTGTAGTGGTCGCGAATCTTCAGGCGTTGTTCCGTATTGCGATGACCAAGAATATCAATGATAGTATTTTCATCCGTCCCTGGATAAAATCAACGAGGCAGTTACCAATTATTGCTGAGGTGCCCCGTTCAATCTTGATCAAGCAAATGAAATTAGACAGAAGGGACTGGCCCTGCGCCCAACTCAACAGCTTGTAAGCTACGATGTACCAAAGGCAGTTGAATGTCGCATCAAGTGTAGAACTTTATTTCTTCTTGCATTTGTCGCTTTCAAGCACAAAAATACGTTCACTGTGAGCTACTGATGACCACGTTACGAAACGTGTACGCAGTTAAACCATTTGATTCAGTTTCGTCCTTCAAGTACGGCAGCAAGATGGTGATATATTTCCCAGCGACCACCTAAAAAATTGGCTAACAGCCTAGTCTTTTTAAGAGGGATCGCATGAGTTTGCGACAATTAATTTAGCAAGAACCAAGACCGACATACAGCTGTATGGCACACCCTCACTTCTCAGGTTTTTTGCTGACGGTCCTCATGACTGCCAGAAGTCGTTCAACCTGGTTTCCGTTACCTTGGGGAATGACTGTTTGGCACTGCTGTACTATATGAAATTCCAAACTCTGTAGGTAGTAAGCGAGTGAGGATTTTTCGAGACATATGGGGTAGGTGAACAACTAGGGAGCTGTTTCCTTTTGATGTAAGATCGTCAAACGCACCTTGATCTAGTGGCTTTTGAGTATGGTATATTCAAATAAGTAGAATAAAATGCACTCCAGTACTGTGAATAAAACTGGCTCCGCCTTTTTTTATCTGTTTCTTCTTGCTTTCTTCTCGCATCATCTGGTTTATTTGAGAAGATGTTTTCCACTTTTACGAGTCTGTAAGCCTCCTAAGAAATATTGCTTCACTTGAGTAAGATTGTTCTGCAAACGACAAGGGGGAGTACCAACGGTTTAGTGATTGATGAAGGAATTTGATAGCGGGCGATTTGTTTGTTTTGGTATTTTACAAAACACTTTTCTAGTTTTGGGGATGAACTACCAACGGGATACTCACTGAATACTGAAATGAGGTTTAGGTTTCGAGTTACCGGTAGCTATATCACTAGCTGTATTACTTGACTAGGCATTCCACCGATGTGCCCTTAGTGTCTTCTGATTGCTGAAAAAGCTCGTCTTTCTGAATAGTCAGTCATGATTATTGACCGGTTTCACGCGGTTTCCAGGTTCAAAACACTGGATGCGTAGTAGTGCAAAATACTGGACCTTATATTCCATATCGCATGACATTCACTGATCTCTGAGTTTACTTAACAACAGTTCTTTCAGTATGAACAAGAATGTATGTGATCAATGATAGTCTATGCCTAACTAAGTAGGCGGGTACCATTCAGGGTGAAAGATGCACGGACAGCAGCCAAACAGATTTTTTTAGGTGTACATTAGGCGGTGAAACTTAATCATAACATACTCATGACTTGTTTTCTTTGAAAACAACTTACAGCTGGCTTTCCGTTCACAAGGAAACCAGTTTGATTCGGTACACACTTTAGCAGTAACTGCATAGAGTAAGTAGAACGGCAGTTTTTTCGCGTTCACCAGTGCACGTTTTTTGTTAGGAAACTTCATGTACGTAAAGCGGACGCGGTTTCTCCAAACCACTGTGCGCAAGTAACACTAATGTAGTCTTGCACCAACGCGTTGCTGGTTAAAAATTTACTATGCACAGGTGCTTAATACGAAATCCCGACCCTGGACCAGGAAGCAAAGTTATTTAGCATAACGTACTGAGCTGGTGCGGACGATCAGTGATCCGATAACAGCTTACTTAAGTACTGTACAAACTTACAAACCATAGTGTTAACAAAGGTGTGGCTGTCTCCTGAAATGATGATTACTCTGATTACATTCCTATTATATTTTGTTTGTATCGGGATAATTGAATTTTCAGTAATTTAGTTTCTTGGCGAAAAACCTTCCCGATAATTTGTAACGATACTGAAGAAGATACGCAGATTTCCTCTATGTCCTAGGGATCATTTTTCCATCCACTTAAAAGCACTCGCTACGATATCTTTTCATTCGAAAATAGTGATGAATTTGTCTCATTCATGTATACATATAATACAAGGACACTGTGCAAATCCTCGTACTCCGTTCGAAGTTGTGCCTAAGTTTTACCACAAATCTGATCTGTTTGCAGCAGGGAAATAGTACGGTGAATCTATTTCTAAGTCTTGTTTGCACCCTAGATGTTCCACTCAACCACACGATCGATCAGTCCCAGCCATCACCAGACAACTGGAATGCATGCAGCCTACGCGGTTTACCATTGTAACAGGAAACTTGTCTTACCGATGTTTCATTATTCATAGAATTGTTTCGGGGAGAATCCTACCAGCCTACTTAATTAAGCATGGCAATAACCGGAATAACTGTAGACAGGACTGTTGTGGATTGTCTGGCTCCAGCTAAGAGTGGTCAGTTTGGTTTTTCACCTAACAACACTTCTCATCCCCGCTTTTTTTTTAAGCCTTTGGTATTAAATAAGATGTGAGTTCGACAAATACACTCATTTGCAAACTAATTTGGTTCTTCGACAGACTCACCTAGAACGCAGCTGAATCTCCCGTTTGTGATGCTTCCAGGAGATGCACCAGGCCGCCTCATGTTTCAGTCGCTACGATCTTTGAGTTGTCACGATACAAGTGTAGTTGTGATGCACTACTCATAAGATTGGTGAGCCCCAATAAGGGCGAAACCATTCGTGGGTTGTAGACGGATTTTCACCAACCTTATGAGTAGTGCATCACAAAGATGCAAGTTTATCCAGAGAACACAGTGTTATCAGTTTTTCCGCAAATAACATGGGTATTTGGAAAAAGTATAATGCCAAATATCTTCCCAGCGCTCACTTAGCCGGACATAAGTTACAAGTCATCTTGCTTAGAAGGATGTCCGCTCCAAGTCACGTAGACGAACTGCTTTAGGTCACTATTTTAGGATGTGCTTGTGTTTTGGCCAAAGTCTTTACGAAAATGAACCGAGGTAGGTAGGCGCCGAGTTATCTAGGCTGGTAGCCACTGACAAGTAAACACAGGGATTGCATAACTTACACTACAGCGAAACTTGAAGGTTTTTGCCTGGTTCAGGCACTACCTTTTTGTGTGATTTCTAACCGCTATCAAATGAAGCGAGCCGATGATCGCGAGAGCAAACCGTGCATTAGCTTTGAAAATATTAGAAATAGCGATACCTCAGAAACCCTCATGTCTTCGAACCCAACGTGCGATACTGTGATACCGCTCCGTTTTTTCAAGTCAGTTGGAGAGGTTCAGTTGCAAAATAAACTTCGATCGAATATGGAGCCTCTGAATGAAGGGACTGCGACACTGTCACTTCCTCATCATTCAACTGTGAAAGCCAAAGATTACCCTCTGAGGGAGCTTTTTATGGAGTTGCAACTCACAATTTCATCTACTTTTCATTGTGAACATAAATAACATTCGATCATCCCACCTACCCGGAACCTATGAAAAATCTGTCACTATTCAACATTGGAGACTAAATTCAAGCCATCTTGGTGGACTCTAATTTGGACTGTCCTCAAATAAAATTGAAACATGTAGGTATAAAGGTGCATTCGACAGAAAAATCGTATTGATTTTCTCTACTTAGCGCACTTTGAACATTTACGTAGGCTTAATAGTGGTAGAGTTACCGAAATGAACAGACAGATCGATTTGTCTGTGAAAACGACCAGAACATGACCAGTGTTACGTAATAAAATGACAAACAGGAGCGAAGATCATTAGGAACAACCGCATGTCTCTGATATATTTGAATAATTTAAATTGACTGAGGGTTACTTCGGAGCAGAACTGTCGTCATGGCCACAATGTTAAACAAATCTTTCTTGGTTTCACCCTGAAAAGGGTTGTGGCGTTAGCACTTCCGCAATTTCAATGGTTTCCGAATGTCTAACAATCGAATGTAAGACAGAACACTATATGGTCAGATCAAACGGGTATTAATGCGTAGCCAATCCGCTTAACGCATTTCGCCTGTTGCTTAGAGAGACGCTGCTACAGCAGTTGAAGTAAATGTTGTAGTAGTACCTAGAAAATTGGTTTTCGAGTGTTTCCTTCTCTAAAGAGAGATCGCACTTTGCATCTACAGCTGATGAATAGGCTTTTGACAATACTTTTATCATTGATAATTTCTTCATCAGTTGGAACAGCACCTACAGATCATCCGACTATGCTGAAACTACGTATCAGTTTGCCTGTGTCTATTAAGGAGGAACCCAGGTATACGTAAAGAAAGAGACTTTTGGGTCCGAATATTCTCTCTTCACGTCTATTCAATTAACATATGTTTTCTGCAGTGGGGTGACCTAGGCTAAACCAGCGTGATTTTTATCATGACGAGACGCTACTCAAAAGATTGCTGACAATTTTTCAACGGCAACCTTAGTAGTAGCCTTCAGTCAAGAAATAAACTGTGACATTACGGATATGGTACCGACTGAAACATGAGGCGGCCTTCTTGCAACACACTCAGTTGAATAGTATGCTAAACGGGATGTTCAACTGACTGTCTTAGTCGGATCTCACATTTAAAAATGAGTGCATCCTTCCGGTATCAGAATTTATACACATTAGCCTTCCAACAGGAACAAAAGCGCGTTCCCGAAATACATACACTGTTCATCTAACTGCATATTTATTCAAAACAAGTCATATAACCGTATTGTTAAGTTACTACTTATTTTTAGTATCTTTTGGACACTACTGCAGATTACAGAATGCTTGGACAATCATTCTTAATACATGCTTACATACTCATAAATAAATGCCCAACTCATTCCATACGGGCACAAGCAGAATAAAGGAGGCCTGTTGATATCGGTTCTCAGTTTACCAACGACGCCTCAAATCTGCTTGAGGTTAAAGCGGTGATTAAAAACTGTACTGTTGAAATAAACATGCACAGAGCAGAGCTGCTTCACCTCCGTCATGGGTTACGTGTGAGTTATAATTTACAATGCATATCGGTTGGAAGCAAGCAGCGGAACCAAGCTCAACTGCAAAGTGAGTTTAGGAAGAAATTTTCAGTCAAAAGGTTTACAGGTGTAACTCTTTTGTATATAAATTAGTCCTACAATTTTTATCAATCGTCATAAGTTTGTGGGCAGTGGAATCTCCTGAAATTCCAAGTGAGTTTTTCCTCATACAGTCTGGTTGACCTACGCTGAAGACTCCGAAGCTACAACAAATTCGCTCATTCGAAAACCGGTTTGGTTTTCAAGGGGAATTTACTGGATTCCAAATAAATAACTTGTTTATCGTGTTCTTTTTAAATTGAACGAATTCTATTGGATCGCTTCAATTTCCAGTTGGTAAAATGTTTGAGAAATCGCAATACATTGCCTAAATATAACATAAGGTGACCTGGATACTACTTGACAGCCCACAAGAAGTTTCGTCCTTCTAAGGGACCCTTTGTGGAAGCAAAGTTGGCACACGAATTTTGAGTAATAACTGATGTTGACGGAAACTCGGAGACCGCGTCTGTCTGATGAGCCCTAAGAAGGGTGAAAACACTCGTATGTTGTCGAATAGTTTCATAAATCTTATGGGTAGTTTGTTAGGTTCGGATACACCATTGATGATCAGTAGTCTTAAGGGTTATCTAAGACTGAAATCATTCAAGAAGTAGTTCCCAACCTACTATTTATCTGTGTTGACTGAACTTTTGAAGATTTATTGTGAAACAGCCACCAGCAGCGCCTAGAATCCATTATTTTGTGCCTACCGAAAGAACGTAATGATACTTCATCAAACGTTGCATTTCATAGTGCAGAAATCACAGAATGCACTATTAACCTTTCTTTGCCTGACCCAGTGGAATCCTAGAGAGGACATCAAATAACCGAGAGGTGCGGTTAGTCATTTGTGGTTAACTTCTTGAAGAGAGCTCACCACCCTAGGTTGCACACCCTCATTGGCAGAATTTTACACTAAATCATGGCCAGTGGTGACGGCTCCCCGTTTCTTTCCAGGACGACTGGCTTATCTTCAAGCAAGAAGTTACCAGGGTTTAATGTAACAAATCCAAAAGAAGGTTGTCATAACGTAAAACATTTTCTGTGGCGGGACGACATCTCCCCACTGTGGGTTGGAAATATGCTTCTGCGCAAAAACCAAGCGATCATACTAATGTACGATGCCTAAATTGGGCAATTCCATTCGCAGTCAAATGGAACATTTACGACGGGGAAACCATATTGCTCTTGCTTACTAAAGAAAGGTCACCTAGCAGAAGCAAAAACCAGGGTGCCCTTATAAGTCTTTGGCTTGAAAGATAGCTATTACTTTTTCAGGGGTCTTTGAATGAATATTTGTCAATTACTTGATTGGTGCTGGTCAAATTCAGAGGCTAAGCTTGTGCGCATGCTTGCGTTCATGCGTTCGTGAGTGAGTGAGCGACTGCAAAACAAACTTACAGTAAACAAAACAAGCCCGAAATATGAAGGAACGAGCGAATCTTTACAGATCTATTGACCAACGATCTACTTAAATGGTTAAAATCATGAACAAGGCTGAAATTCCCCCCATCTGCGAACCCGCTTGTCCTGACATGAGATAATATAGCTCCTCTTGAGAGCACATACAGTGAATAGTCTAACAGTCATAATATATTTAAAAAATCATTTAGCTGGAGCACAGGATAGTGAAGTGCACGAATTTCGAATATTTGTTAGTGCTTCCTGTTGGTAGGTTAGAATACTTCATCATGGTCACTAGCCTTGCTCTATATTTCCGATTCGCATTTAGGTAAGTGAGTAAAACTAGGCGTTTTGTTCTTAACTAGACGACAATTCATTTAGACTAATTGAGAGTTTCATCAGCCAGTTATCTCGTGGGTGTGTAGGCCTACTTAATATCTATGCACTGCCTCAAATCTAAGCAATATGTCTTATCACGTGTTTAAAAGAGACGCCTACAGAATCCATGGGTACTTGCGGTATTGTTAAACTGTACTTAGGCCTAACGGTCTGAAAGCACTAATTTACTTCTGAGTACCCTTAATTGGTGCGAAACGTTGGGCTTTAAAGACCTTGAACATGCTAGTGTCATCCTATTTACAGATCAAGCTTGATGTTCAACAGAATCGCTTTTTTGGTGGTTAAACTGCAGCAATTATTAGTGCATTCATCTCTTAAGTGAATTTAACCTATGCTAAGCAGCTGAAAACAGTACAGCGACTTTGTCCTTACGGGAAATCATCGGCACCGTCTACGGAGCCACGAACGCTTAGCAGTTCGGACTAGAGCGGCCGATCCGCCTTGTGAGTAGCTCGTACCTAGACAGGACATAGCGCCACTCATCCTTCAGTCTGGTAATCACGCTACAGCATCGCGTAGTAATTGGCTACCTGAGGTCAACTTCTCAGAATGAAGCTTCACTTTTCGTGTGAATTCACTCTTCCTCTGAGCTACTTATAGATGGTGGGTAGCATGGGGAGGTTTGGAAATTTTCATAGGAGATCTGAGCTAAAGATCATGAGATGCGCAGTGTTGATTATTCCCAGTAAGGAAGGAATAGCTGTATAGGGCTTCTCAGCGTGGAGTGTCTTCTCTTACAGGACGAAATCTCCACCGAAAATCCCTATATATTCTCACACAGCCTACCAAATTCGGCTGAAAGTTCATGTCTAACCACTAGTCCCCGAACTAGCCAAGGGTATTTGAATTCCCGTAAGCTTTGAAAACTTAGATTATAATCCACTTTTTTCTAGTGAGACCGTGTTTTTTCAAATTTCTCATACCAAGAATTAGTAACATTTTGTCTGATTACTTACCCATGCCCTTCATGGCTTCGCGCAACGCAATGCAGTCCTTTTCAACGTCAAATGTTTTCGGTGCCTTCAAGGATGGATTGTAAGATTCCCCATCTGGTCCAACATAGTAGCAACGGCAACTCATTTCGTTGGAACTGGTAAGCTGAAACAGAAGCAAGTGAGTTGCCATCCGTCAGATATCCCATTTGGACACGTGTTTTAAAGCAGTATGTGATATGTGTTTTGGAATCTGTTTATCTAAATGTAAGTGAAATCTGTTCTACTGCCAGGTTTGGATGTGAACAAATATGAACATGAATACATATAGATATTTAATACGCCATAATATGCGACAATAATGTAGTGACTTCGTTTCCCCAAGGGTATCTTCTGTATGCAGCAAAAATCAGTCAGAACAATTATTCATGCAGTAAATGATCAGATCAAATGCAAGAACTTAAAGCAGTTGTTGTACTTGACGGTGTTGGGTAGTACCGCCCACATTTCTAGGCTGAGAAACTTCAGGTGACTGCCAAATCCTAATGGCTGATTTCGCCTTCTGAGATGTCGGCCCTCAAGACTGCACACTTTATTTGACTTTTTTGCTTTTTTCCAATAAATGGAAATCTTCGGTTGGTCCTCTCCTGTGGTCCCTTGTAGGCGGAAAACTCTTACAACCGTAGATAGCATATTACAAGTAGATTTTTCACTGCTTGCCTTAAGTTAGATACTTAAAGTCTGGATTAATTAGTTTGAGGTATACACTCATTTTCCCGCTAAGCTGGTTGTTTGTCGAGACTCAAGTGGATTTGCTGCGCAGAGGGTGATTTCTGTTTATGTTTCAGAGTATCGGGATACGTCCCTTGATACAGCACTATTTACAAGTTCAATAAAACTTGTCGAGGTAACTCAGAGATAATTCGAATCTTTTGTATCCAGGAGAACAGAAAACCTGGGAATGTTCGAGTGATTTCAGGTATCCTATTTACGACTTGCTTTTTGAGTCAGCACCTGTGGTTTGCTACAGGTTTTTAAAAACCCCACAGGTTCAGTTTATTTATTAAAAAAAACTAAGATTTTTCAAACTGAAGAATGATGAAACGACGTAAAAGATGAAAATATTTTATTGTTGGGTTTTCTTAATAGCTGAGACAACTCATACTGATATTTTTCCCATTAGGTCAGCCGCAGTGTGCTGCCACTGTCTACCAACGGGGGTAGGCAACAACAGTCCTAAGTAAAATATCATATCGGTAGGCCATGACCATTCAGTTAAACCCGAAGGCGATTCGTTTCTCACGTTTTGCTCGAAGCGTCAGAAAAGCTTTAAAACAGAGAAAATAAAACAGAAAAATCAGTTCTGTGTACAGAAAAACTTGCGCATTGCTCTTGTTTAGACTACTTTTCGAAGAGCGCGTTTATTGGTGGAAGTGGGCCAATGTTCTTATCATTGCATACCCTTATTTTTCTTCACTCAGGATGGGCTAAAATCATCCGTTTTGTTTGAACTGAATAATATTGATATTCCATCAGTTGCCTGGTGACGGCTCGGATTAATCGATCATGTGATTGATTGGAACATCTATGGTGCAAACAAGACCTTAAAATAAATTCCGAGCCCATCTCGATATATCGTCGTAGTCGGTGGAGAGTAAAGGTACAATATCTGGCTATTTTTGAGCGATCACATTGTTTGGCTAAATCAGAAACCGGTCACAACAAGAAGAAGTGTGGGTGACACAATAGTCATATTAGTTAGCATGGAACTGTCAATCTTGGAATGCGAGATTTGAAGAATAGCAAGGTTTGGCATTAGACCTTCTGAGCAAGTCAGTACACTTACCTGAAGCTATTCTAATTCGACTTACACGCGGTTCCGATTCTATCAACTTTGTACAAAGAAATAAATAAAAGTCAATAGCTAGACTGACAGCAATGGTGTGTCTATCGCTAGTTGATGCCAACCAATCGCGTATGGAGCGTGTGGGTTGCATGCTGGTAACGCAATCACTCGCTGAACGGCAGGCGCATTCGTCATACCCAAACCACAAGTGATACCACAGCGTCATAGTTGTGGTTACCCGAATAGCCTTTGATCAGGTTATAAAAGTAAACAAATGAGAGGTTTTAGGAGTGATGCAGCTGGAGTCGCATGCTAGATTTTTCCCATCCCAAGTAAAATACGACAAATTAGAACAAATTACTGCACTCAATGCAAAATCCATCACAATAAGAGGATGCTTTGGTTGATTAACAACTGACCTGTTGAATCTTACAACCCTGATTCAGGAAGCATATTGCTTCACCCTCCCTCCCACCACAAAGATAGAAATATTTGGGACCCCTTAACGACCCAAAGTACGATAGAAGATTCAAATTTCCATACAATACATAGTTTTTTATCTTTACACAATTTTTATCCTACAGAAACAGTTTAGTCCACATTTTCACTTCCATGTCAACTCATGGCTTGTATTTGGTAGTATAATTACCAGTTTAATTTCTAATGATACCTGGATTTATGGAAATTTACACCACTCCTATCTAATAACAGTAATGCCTAGAAATATCTTACCTACTAAGCTTGAATCAGGATAGTAAGCTCTAATTCCTTTGCGTCCTGTTCTCGTCTAGGAATCCAAGTACATAAACTAACGAAAATGTCTGCGGACAGCACTCAGCCTGTTGCTGCTGGTGCGAACGTTCCACCAGGCAGCAAGTATACATTTGACATCCGCACTGATTTCCTAACTTTCTACCTGGTTCTTTAGGAGAGCCACTGAGACTTCCACTATCGCTCAGTCTTTGATATGTTCCACGTGCAAACAGTGCTCTTGATCTGAGTTGGAGAAGATGAATTGTTGCGTAGCAGTGGGAAAGAATCTAAATGCCCTTAATAAAAGCAAAGTGGAACCCAGTAATCATAACTATGACTCTAAGGCCAGAATTAAAATGTTTCTTATGTAAAATCATTTTATCTGGGAGATTTTAGTGAAGACGTTTGTTTAATTTGGTACTCCGAAATCATCAGATTTTGTCTATAACGTGGATGTATTTAAATCCCTCCTGAGGGAACCTGCTATGGATATCGTCAACGACGTGCCCTGGTATAGTTTTTTTCCTGGATCGAAAAATGGACGCAAATATTCTATCAAGATCTGAACTCTCCCGAGCTTATTTTTCCCATAATCAAAGATTAATGGTCATTCGGTCCTTTATTCCTTCAAGCCTGCGCGCACAGACGGCGCTAAGCCGTATCATTCGTTGTCTTATCTTTTAGAGCAGCGAACGCCCCACCCATGATCGAGGGATTAATTCCGAACCTCACATAGACTACTGAATACAGAATTTCGGCTGGTTAACTGTTCAGAACACATGGTTCCGTGTTTATGTATCTAGTTTCGCCCTTCCTGCGGCGTTGACTACAGTTCGGTAACAAAATTAGCATTCTTATTATTTGTCATTCATTCTTAAGTTGTCGCCATCATCTTGTTTTAGCTAGTTTGTTTTCGTTCTTATGCCCCAAACCTTTGAATGCCGATGAATCCAGCTATCCGTATCAGATTTTGCCAGCCGATTCTTTTGGTTGTTTATGGTCATCATTACTGACTACAAGTCAGTAAATCAGAAAACTGGTGTCTCACTGGCGTACGACCATGTCAGTTTTTTGAATGAAGCCTTAGAGTGAAAAGAGGAGAAAGTGGGGAAAAGAGGGGGAACTATAATTTTGCCCGCAACAAACATCCGAGAGGTCCGCCTCTGCATCACAATCTGGATAGAATCTGACAACTTGGACGCCCGTAACATCGGTTTGCCTTTCAGTCTTCAGGCAGTTGCAGGAAAGATCACGTGGATTCCATTCTGGAAAGTGAACAGCACCAACAGCACCTAAACATTTCGTAACATCCTTCCTTCTTTTCTGCCCTGTCAAATTCTGCCCAAATCTGGGTTTCCGACCTTCCCGATCAGACAAGGGGAAAAGCGCCCATCTAGGCATGCGTAATATATGGTCCAGCCAACTTAGCTTCCAATGCTGGAAGCGTTCTTTAAGTGAAGTACCCAGTTCTTAACTCAAAACCCAACTCCTAATCACTTCATTTTGAATTAGCTGATTCCAGCTGTTCCCAAGTAGGTTTCTGATATACAGGCAGCCAAATCCCTAAGGAGGTCTCACTTCTTCGGCTCTAAATGGTTAATTCTCACATTGGTGCAACACTGCAGCTTGCATTGTAGTCTGATATCCAAGTCCTTCGGTACTCAGATATGACTTTTGGAGACCACAATTGGCACGTATTGACAGAAGCAAATCAAGGCCTTGAGGTTTATGCATTCACTTCGGTTGCCACACTACCATCAGAGCTAATGCGACACAAAATTTTCACAGCAAATAACGTCACTCCCCAATTTTCAGGAGCATCTTCAAAGACTATACGTCCTGCAGCATGAATGTGCATTTTATGGGAACGAAGCATTTGCCGATAAATGGGACGAGTCCTTCAGCCTCCCTAGCAGTACATGCACTTCCCGCTGTTCTTCAAAAAAATGGGAACAGTGTCGTCTGCACAATTCAGGATGACAGGGCTCTTGTCCAGTGTGATCTAAACAACGCGTTCTGCAGACCCTCCAGGGTTTGTCTGCTTACTTCAGTGGTGAAACATAAATAAAAATGGAGAGAGTGGAAGCCCATCGAACGCCAGTGTTTGTAGTAAGTCCATGGATAGCTTTATATGCATTCTGATGCGCCAAAATGTGAGTAGAAATAACGTCTGGTATTCATGGACGTCTGCGTCGCACTTTGCTGCGCAAGCGTACAAAAAAGAACTAATTGGTAACGGGGTTGAATACAATCTAGAATTCAAGGAACTACAAGATTGTAGGACGCCTATACGCAAATTTGGAGGAGCATGAAGACGCGGTTCACACAGTAACTCCCCAGCCGAACCCTGCCTGCTATTCCTTTGTTCTATCTTCATGCACCTTCGTAAGTTGACGTAGGACTAACGAATCAGGTTCTGATCATAACGATCTTCAAGCTAATCAATCTGTGATTGCCACGCACATCGAGAGCACTTTTTCGAACATTGGGTGCCGGAACCTTCTCACCTCAGTTAGTTGGGAGGGTCTGTTTCGCTCAGGCAGAAGCAATTAAGTTAGACAGGTACCGACTGAGGCTTTCACTTCTATCTTTGAACAGAACAAGTAGGATTTCGTTAGAACCACCCGTTTGGTTACTTTTGAATGAGAACTGGCATTCACCTACGTGCTGATCCGTCGGAGGTTCCAAGTTCACTATCTGAAGTTGCATTACTGCTCGTGAATCTGACTGGGTAACTGCAGGTGTCCAGGCGGACTGCTTTTGAAACTGTTGGACTCAGTGATTCAGATTCTCTTTTTTCAAAGAGGAACGAGTTATCAGCGAATGTTTCGTCGCTGAAACCTTCTGTACGCCTGTCGCGGATATGAGATAGAACGCTACGCAGCTTCTTAGTATCTCTAGGCTTTTAATCTCAGATTTCTGGATCCACCAAGCTTTTCAGTCCGCACACATGCTGTTTTTCACTTGAGGTTGCATAACTCGTTGACTAGAAGGAATACGTGTGTGGATTTCGAACAACTTCGACTTTACTCGAGATCCAGTGCTTCGGTCTAGTTCGTTGCGCAGTTTCACAAACGGTAGAGCGAGCGTCTTACAAACTTGCTCACAGTACCATTTTGGTAAGATTCAAAATACTTAGATGACGGATTGTCCGAAATGGACTTCAGTAGGTGTCTTTGGTAGGCCTGCTTTACATCAGGGTTGGAGAGCTTCCCAATGACCGAACAAGGCGTGTGGATCTCGTTTACTCGTGTAAGGCTCAACGAGAAGCAGCCAAGAACAAGTGCATGATCCGAATCCATATAAATGTTACAGAACAAACGACAGTCAGTAACTAACCCACCTACACTTGATGGCGATATGGTCTACGTTTGTTGGAGGTTGGTTTGCATGCGTGGGACATTTTGTGACCAAGGATCATTGGTTGCCTCAGAAGTTATTACTAGACAGAACCATTGTGCGATCAGGACATAATTGTAGCAGGCGTTCGCCGCTTTGCGCTCTTCTTGATTTCCATCCAAGACGATCCGTCGATTAAGCCTCAGAGGTTATAACTCTACCTACTTAGCCGTTCGTATCTCTGTAAACCACAACAATTTCTGGGCTGTTGATCCGCTGCAATAAGGTGCTCGGGATGACGTAAGAAACTGTTAAGAAGTGTATCTTTTCGTAGTAAGTTTAACAGAAGGGTGCATTTTTAACGACAGAATCGATATAAATGTTGGTCGTTGGCTTGTTCGCTGAGCTGGGCAGTTTGGTTGCAAACATTTCATCACCAATCGAGGTGACATCATCAGTTCGTAGTTGTGCTTAGCGGTGGGTTCGTTGTTGTGCTATAATATGTGTATATATATACATATATAAATGTTCCGATTCCAAATATGGAGAACCAAGGGACTTTTATTCGGTCTCCCACCTATTGACCAAACTAATGAGGAAGGGGCTTGGCGAATAGGGCTCAGTTTAGCTAAATGGGTCACGTGGATGCACAAACTGTCACATAGCGGTAAGTTTCACTTTTCATGACACTTGTTGATCAGTTGACTAGTGGTCGGTTCTTCTAGCCACGCAGTAAGTTTGTAAAGTCTCGTCAGTTAGGGAGATATCGTAAGTTGAAGTTTGGGTGCGTTAACCAGCCATGATGATGCCGCTCCATCTTCAATTGACAATAAAATGTTTGGAAGCTAAATACCAGGCTCGGCGAACTGGTCCCCGGTCATTTGACCAACAACCAGTAAATGCATCCGAGGAACCAATACTTCGACACATTACAGCTTTTGCATCTC